GGAGGTCGAAGTCGATGACGTCGTCGCACTCGAGGATGAAGAACATGGCCAGCGAGTTGAGCAGGAGGTTGAAGGGCCCGTCGGCGGTGCCGACGACCATGACCGTGACCTGGATGAAGTAGGTCGTCATGACGAAGCGCGCGCCGTGGAGCAGGAACGCGAGCGCGACGCGGAGCGCGCCGAGCTTGGAGAACCGCGCCCGGCGCCGCTCGCGCCGCGCGCCCCAGCGGATGACGAGGTAGGCCGTCTTCATGCCCGACACGCCCTTGTGCACGGCCATGCCGAGCATGAAGGTCGTGAAGACGAGGGGCGCGATGACGAAGATGGGCAGCCCGCGCGTGAGGATGGAGTCGTCGAGCTCCGCGCTGTACGCGACCTGCGCGGACATCAAATCTTCCACCCGACTTCAATGTGCGCGCGTTCGATAGGTTCGACGGAAGCTCTTCGGCTGTGCTTCGAGAACTCGATGGGAGCCATCGATTCGTCAAACAATCGGCCGAATCGACTTCGATGTGACCGAGAGAGAGAGTTCTGAAGATGGGTGGGGACCCCCCAAACCGGTGGTTGATTTCGGCGCCGTACGCGACGGGCCCGGGCACGCCGTAGGGGAACGTGCCCGCGAGCCACGCCGGCGGCGCGCCCTCCTCCGTGGCCATGGTCCCGTACTTCAGATACCAGAGGTGCTGGTCGCGCCGTCTGGAGCGCCCACGTCTGGAGGAACGCGAGGCCGAGCGCGAACGCGGCGAGGGGGACGACCTCGGCGGCGAACGTCGAGCAGCGGTCCGCGCCGACGTCGCCCGCGAGCACGATCTTCGTCACCGTGCGCGAGTAGAACGACTTCTCGCAGTGCGCGTAGAGCGTCGTCGCGATCTCCTCGCGCAGGTTCCGCGCGAGCACGGACGCGCGCGTGCGCTGCGCGAGCGACGGCCGGCCCTCGTCGGCCGCCGCGGCGGGCGGCGCCGCGCCGCGGGGCGACCGCGGCGGGCTCCCGTCGCCGGGCGGCTCCCTCCGCGCCTTCTTCCGCGCCTTCCGCGGCGCCCGGCCGGGCGCCGCGCGCGGCGCCTCGCGGTCCCCGGCGTCGCCCCAGGCGAGCATCATCGCCTCCTCGCCCTTGGGCGCGCTCGCGGGCGCCGCGACGTCGTCGAAGCGCTCGACCGCCGGGGCCGCGGCGGCCCACGGCGCGTCGTCGGCGAAGGTGAGCCCCGGGCAGAAGACCATGGGAGAATCAGGACGACCGTCGTCGTCCGTGGCGACATCGCGGCCCTCGGCGCCGTCATCGAAGAGGAGCATCGGGGCTGCGCTCGGGCAGGCCCGTTCCCGGACGGTCCGCGTGCGGGCTGCGCAGGGCGGTCAGGCTCGATCCCGACCGAGGTGTCCGGGCTGCGCAGGGCAGTCAGGTTCGATCCCGACCATCGGCGTCCGGGCTACGTTGGGCAGTCAGGCTCGGCCCCTATTCTGCCGGCACAGGCAACGTCGACAGCAAGATGCCGCGCGCAGCTCGGCCCAGCTTCGAGCAATCATCCTGCACCACTCGGCTGCGGCGCCGTGCGCGTGCGCCCGTGGCACACCGCGGTTCGTCTTCCGCGCCGGGAGCCGCTCGCGGCGGCGCGCCCCCTGGACCCCCGGAGTCGCCCCCCGGTGCATGTTCGTCGGCGAGGAGGCGCAGGGACTCATGTCGGGCGGCGCCAACGACCCCTTCCACGTCGTCAAGGACGAGCTCGTGGCGAAGCTGGAGAGCATCGAGCTCCGCGTGGGCCAGTTCAACGGGCTGCTCTACGGCCCGGGGACGACCGCGGGCTCCAAGCCCTTCCGCGACTGCCGGAAGGCGCTCGGCCGCGAGATCCGCGGCGCCGAGGGCCAGCTCAAGGACCTGGGGCTCACGGTGGACTACGTCGAGCGGGACCGGGGCGCCTTTTCCCACATCGACGACCGCGAGCTCTCCGAGCGCCGCGACTTCGTCGCCGCGGCGCGGAGCCGGGTCGCGAACGCGCGCGACGCCGTCGGCGGGCCCCGCGCGCGCGCGAAGATGGACGCAGACGACAAGGCCGCCGTCGCCGCCCAGCAGGGCGACTACGGCGCGTCCACGGACCTCGAGATGGCCAACACGGACTTCATCCACGGCCAGCGCGCGCGGACCCAGGCGACGATGCGCGAGCAGGACGACAACCTGGAGCAGCTCGACGGCGCCGTGGACCGCGTCCACGCCATGGCCTCCGAGATCCACGGCGAGCTCCAGACCCAGAGCCGCATGATCAACGACATGGAGAGCGAGCTCGACGAGACGACGGAGAAGATGAACTTCGTCATGGGCAAGCTCAGCAAGCTCCTCAAGACCAAGGACACGTGCCAGCTCTGGACCATCGTCGCCCTCACCGTCGTCCTCGTCGTCATGGTCATGCTCGTCATCTGGTCCTAGGGGGCGGTAATCGCACGCGAGCGCGCCCCCGAGAGAGCGAACGGGGAGCGCGGCGAGATCGCCTTCTACGAAGTCGGTTCGCCGCCCCGACAGCGGACTATATGTTAGAACACAGCGATGTGCCCCCAAGCGCCGGGTGGCTGCGCCTGAAGCGCGCGTCGCGTCGGCGCGGTCGGCGCCGGAGCGAGGGCTTGACAGGCGAATTGAGCGGGAGGTGCGCTCGTTAGAGGTGCTCGAGCTCGTTGAGAGCCGCGAAGATTTCGTGTTTCCGGAGGAGGAGCTCGGAGCGTTCCTTGGCGCACCTAGGAGTCGACGCGCTCGCGGCGGCGCGGCCCGAATTTGACGCTGGCGCGCGTGCGTTTCCACGAGGAACGTACTTTCGTCGACGACGGCATCTTCGTCGGCGTCGGATTGCTCGTCGTCGTCGCCGCCCTCGGTTCGCGGCCGTTTCTTGGGCCGCCCTCTCTTTTTGGGTTTGGACTTCTTGGCGAGTAACCGACCGAGGCTGGGAAGGATGGTAGAAGCGTCGGAGACAAGAGGCGCGACGAGTTGTTCGACGGCGACTTCGAGAAGGACGCTGAGCAGTGCGGGCCCAGGCGCAACATAGCCGCCGACCGCGCGATCGAACCACCCGGCGACCGCACTCTCGACCGCGGCCGCGTGCGCGCTCTCGCGCTCTTTGACTGCTTCGGAGAAGGCCGCGACGAGCGCGTCACGGAGGACGGCGAATCGCGCGAGCTGTGCCGTGCCCGTGTGATTGTTGAAGATTTGATTGACGGCAGTTCCGAGCGCCTGGCGGACGGCTCGCGAGGCCGCGGCCGTGGTGCCGAGGGCGCCGATCTTGGCGCGCTGCTTTAATTGGACGCGCTCGAGCACCGACATGGTGCCGCTTGGGATCGAGGATTTGCCGCACACGACCGAATGATCGTTCGCGAAATTACCGTGGAGCTCCTTTCTGATCGCCTGTTCGACGAGTTTCGCGCTTCCGGCCGCGGAGAAATCGCTGACAAATTCCGCGAGCAAGGCGGACAAGGTCAACGAGGAAGGCGCGGGACCGAGGCGGTCGAGCTCGACTTCGACAACTCGTTGCCGCTCCTTGAGGTGCGCGGTGGCGCGCGGCACCCAGTTGTCGCGGATGTGGCTCGAGAAGAGGGCGTCGATCTTGACCAGGAGCTGGTTGATGCCCACGCCGTCCTGGATCTTGGCGTCCTCGGAGAACCAGCGCTGCTCCTCCTCCGCGGAGTCGTGCAGCGACGAGCCCTCCTCCTCGACGACCATCGTGTCGCGATTCTTGACGCCGACCCAGCCCTGGGGCAGCGCTACCATGTCGTCGGCGCGGCCCGCGAGGCGGTCCTTGAGCTCCCAGAAGGGCGATTTCTTCTTGCGCTGCTTGAAGCGCGGGTCGTAGGCGAGGTCCGCCTTGGCGAGGACGCCGATGGTCAGGGGCTCCTTCCCGTGGCGCTGGACGAGCTGCATGGCCTGCGAGTCCCGGACGCGCGTCGCGTTCGCGGGGACGACGCAGACGCAGACCGTGTCGGCGCGGCACATGTAATGCTCCGTGATCTTGCGCGTCTGCTCCATCATGTCCGCCGGCTCGCCCTCGACGGACGCCGCGACGATGCCGGGCAGGTCGATGAGGTCGAGCGTGGGCACGTCCGGCTTCCGCACCTCGATGGTGAGCACGTCGTTGACGACGCCCCGGACCGTGCCGCCGTGGCGCGCGGCCACCGCCTCGTTCATGAATGCCGCGACGGTCCGCGCCGCGTCGGCCTCGCTGACGACGGCGTCCTCGCGGCCCGCGAGGCGCACGGTCACGCAGGAGCCGGCCGCGGCGTCGTCCTGGATCAGCCGCAGCTGGATCGGCATGCGCGTGCAAATCGTCGCGTCCCGCGGGAACAGCGTGAGCCCCGCGATGCGCTCCAGCGTCGAAGATTTGCCCGCCGACTCGGAACCGACGACGATGATCGACGGAAGCGCCACGTGGCCGAGGGCCTGCGTGAGCGACCCGCGCTTCACCACGCGCATGATGCGGCCGTAGTTCGAGCTCTTCAGCGTCGCCGCGACGTCGAACGTCGTCGTCGCCTCGGCCGCGACGTCCATGTCGTCGTCCGAGTCGCTGATCACCGTCGCGCCGTTCTCGCCAACGTAGAGGCGCACCGCGGCCTGGACGCTCCAGTCCCCGATCTCAAGGAGCCGCGCCGCATCTTTCTTCGACCCCTTCGTAAAGCCGACGACCTCTTCGATCCTCTCCTTCTTCTCCCGCGCACTGAGCGATAGCGCCTTGACGAGGCCTACGGCTTCGGCCGCTCGCCCAAGAAGCCCCCGCTCTTCCGCCGCGGTGCGACGATGCTTGAGGCTGCGCGACGCCGGGGCCGTCTCCTTCTTTACTTTGGGGGGCATGGCGGCCGCGTCGAGGTCGACGCCGAGTCGCGCTGGACCGCGGGCAGCGTTCTGTGCCGAGGTCGACGCAGTGGGCAGCGCTTCTCGTGAAATGTTAACGACTTTGGGTAAACTTCGGCACAGTGCCGTACATCGAGGGCAGCTTCGCAGGCACGATGGACGATCGAGCGCCTCGCCGCCCTCGTCGTCGGTGATCAGCAACGCAGATAGGATCGAGCGCCTCACCGCTCTCGCCGCCGGTCGCGGATAGGATCGAGCGCCTCGCCGCCCTCGCCGCCGGTAATCAGCGACGCGCATGGAGGCGCGGGCCGAGGCCGTCGTCGTCGACGGGTCCATGCTCTTCGACTGCTCGCCGGAGGTCGCGGTCGCGAACGCGGCCCACATCGCCAAGGCCGTCGCCGTCAAGGCCGACGTCGACGACCCGGGCCGGGTGCGCGTCGGCGTCGAGGACTTTGGCGACGGCGCGCGCGTGCGCTACTCGCTGACCGTGCCATCCGCCGTCGCCGCGGCCGTCGCGGCGAGCCTCGGCGCGCTGACCCCGGCGGAGATGGACGGCCTCGTGAAGCGGACGTCCGGCGGCCGGCGCGCGGCGACGCCCTTCAGCTCGCAGCGGGGCGACGCGGCGCCGCCGCCGGCCGCGGTCGCGGCCGCGGCCGCGGGGTCGCCGGCGGCGGCGCGGCTCCGCGCGCCGCCGGCGGCGGTCGCCGTCGACGCGTCCCGGCCCGCGCTCCGGGCCTCGGAGCTCTACGGCCGCGCGTTCCTCGGCCGGCGCTTCGGCGACGTCGCCGTCGCGCGCGGCGCCGTCGCCGGCGCCGTCCGGGACGCGGTCTTCGCCGCGTCGACGCGCCGGTCGCTGACGCTCTTCCCCGGCGCGCCCGGCCAGCGCACCTTCTCGCAGACGCACCACCGGGCCCTCGGGGCCGCGCTGCGGCCGTCGGCCGCGGCCTGGGCCTGGCTCGCGCGGTCCGCGGAGCCCTGGCAGCTCCGGGGCGCGCTCGACCTCGACGCGCGCGAGCTCGGGGCGACGTGCGGCGCGCTCCTCGGGCGGCGCGACGGCCTCGAGGTCCTGGGGAGCGTGCTGCCGGGCGCGGCGACGTCGCTCTGGGCCGGGTCCGCGGGCACGCGGACGCCGCTCCCAGGGCAGGACAAGAGAGCGAAATTCCCAACTTCAAAGGCTCATATCTCGGCCGTTTTCCACTCGTTTTGGCTAATTCTTGGACGAGCGATCATCTCTCGGAACGTCT